TTAGTTAGCTACAAAGGCCAGTGTAATTCAAATAATTCTAGAAATAAACAAATGCTAAGGTAGGTAATTGGAAAGATGCTATACAACAATACATACGAGAAATACACAATATAAATTATTTAAACAAGAATCTACAAAAACACTATAATCTACTATTTATTCTATTTGACTTTACTTGCTAGGTTCCTTGCTACTTTTTTTTTTTCTTTTCTTTTTAACAGTAACATGTAAAACACAAACAACAGAATAGCCAGAGGGATTACACAGAAATTGAGAAGAAAAAAAATATATATATATATATTTAAAAAAACACAAATCCACTTTATATCAAATCAAATACAGACATGTAACGAATAATATTTTTTGACATTTTGTTTTGTATATACGTTTTAATTGTGCTAAATAGTTTTCCAAATCTGATTTTAAAAAATAAAAAAGGGGCTTTTTCTTCATAAATGTTGATTTGTGTATGAAATATTTTCCTAATAAAATTAAGAGATTTATGACATACTGACGTTCAATTGTGGAATCAGTGTAGTAGAATAATATGTCAAACTTAGATATTTCAATGGTTGTATGCATTTTGTTGCCAAGATATAGTTGTACATCAGTCCAGAACACCTCACTATGTAAACAATTACAAAATAAGTCTTCAATAGATTGTTTCTAGTTCACAAAAACTGCATTCACTAGTAACATCAGGTACAGTGAGGGAAAAAAGTATTTGATCCCCTGCTGATTTTGTACATTTGGCCACTGACTAAGACATGATCAGTCTATCATTTTAATGGTAGGTTTATTTGAACAGTGAGAGACAGAATAACAACAAAAAACGCATGTCAAAAATGTTATAAATTGATTTGCATTTTAATGAGGGAAATAAGTATTTGACCCCTCTGCAAAACATTACTTAGTACTTGGTGGCAAAACCCTTGTTGGCAATCACAGAGGTCAGACGTTTCTTGTAGTTGGCAACCAGGTTTGCACACATCTCAGGAGGGATTTTGTCCCACTCCTCTTTGCAGATCTTCTCCAAGTCATTAAGGTTTCGAGGCTGACGTTTGGCAACTCGAACCTTCAGCTCCCTCCACAGATTTTCTATGGGATTAAGTTCTGGAGCCTGGCTGCCTTGAGATCATTGACAAAATCCTCCGGTGTAGTTCTGGGCTGATTCCTCACCGTTCTCATGATCATTGCAACTCCACGAGGTGAGATCTTGCATGGAGCCCCAGGCCGAGAGAGATTGACAGTTCTTTTGTGTTTCTTCCATACCTATTTCCATAATCGCACCAACTGTTGTCACCTTCTCACCAAGCCTTCTTAGCGATGGTCTTGTAGCCCATTCCTGCCTTGTGTAGGTCTACAATCTTGTCCCTGACATCCTTGGAGAGCTCTTTGGTCTTGGCCATGGTGGAGAGTTTGGAATCTGATTGATTGCTTCTGTGGACAGGTGTCTTTTATACAGGTAACAAACTGAGATTAGGAGCACTCCCTTTAAGAGTGTGCTCCTAATCTCAGCTCGTTACCTGTATAAAAGACACCTGGGAGCCAGAAATCTTTCTGATTGAGAGGGGGTCAAATACTTATTTCCCTCATTAAAATGGAAATCAATTTATAACATTTTTGACATGCGTTTTTCTGGATGTTTTTGTTGTTATTCTGTCTCTCACTGTTCAAATAAATATAGACTGATCATTTCTTTGTCAGTGGGCAAATGTACAAAATCAGCAGGGGATCAAATACTTTTTTCCCTCACTGTATATATTTAGAAATCAGGCTATTACACGGGTAGAATCTATGGATAATCTTAAAGGAGATCTCCTTTACTTTATTGGTCACCATAAATTTGTGTGGAGTGAGCCAAGCACGGCGCCAGTTTACATCAAATGATGAAGCCCAATAAAATATAGCAGAAGGAACATAATTACTGTAGAAAATATCCCTTAAAAAACGATTATTGAATTTCTTATCTAGTAAACCTATGCCATTCACTTGGATATCGCTTACAATAGGAGATGTTCCAAAATATGCATTATTCTGAAGTAAAGGTTTTATCCCACTAGGTATAGCTTTTATAACAGTGTCATATTCCTTGCTTGAAACCTCAAAGTATTGTATCTTTCAATAAATTCTCTCCATGTAAATAGATTCCCACTAATACTAACTAATTGGCTGACAAGGACAATGTCACGTCTCCTCCCGTTGCTCCCCTCAAGCGCTCTGATTCGTCGGTCTACTGAGCCACCGGTCTGAGCGCACCACCTCGGCTACACAGGTATGGAAACCCAAAGCACCCTAATCATCTCCAGCGCACCTGCACCTCATCATCTCATCACCACCCCTATTTAGCCCTGGACTGTTTTGGATGATGTTGTGTGTGATTGTTTAGCTTCGTGTCGTTTTTTCTATCTTTGTTATTTCTCTTTATCATTGTTAAGTAAACCTTGACATTGTTAATTCCTGCGTCTGCCTCTTCGTATACTCAGTACGCGTCACAGACAATGTTATTCGAGAACCAGTTACAGTAAAATAACATCTTGTTTCTATGTAATATCGACCCATTATTCCATATAAAACATTTATGTGTTGAAAAGTTGTTTACACAGCAAAGCCCAGCACATTAAAGCCTGCTTGTGAAAAGCCGCCAATTTCACAGGAAGTTTACCCACAATATAGGGACATTGTAGTAAAAAATTAAGCCCTCCGAGCTTTTGAAAAACTAAATGAGGTATAATATTCCAGAAACTATTAGGATTTTTTAAAGTACCTTTTCTCCCAGTTGACTTTTGATATGTGATTAGAGAGAGTGAAGTCTAAGACATTTAGACCGCCATCACAAACCCTGTTGGTGATAACATCTCTTTTTATCTTTTGTGGCTTGTTTTTTCCATATGAAGTTGTACAATAGCCTATCTAAGGTACAGCAAGTGGATTTGGGGATGTCAATAGATGAAAAAATATAGGATGCACGAGACAGCCCCTCAGCTTTGGATAAAAGCACCCTCCCTTGAAGACTTAAATCCCTCCCTAACCACGAGGAACATTTATTTTTGAAAGATTGTTACAGGATTCAAATTAAAAAAGATCATTCAAAGCCTTAAGATTTTTGGTGATCTTTACACCGAGGTAGGTTACAGTATCTTTTTCAGAGATGTTACCCCGCCCTGTGCTACTGGGTCCTGGACTTCCTGACGGGCCGCCCCCAGGTGGTGAAGGTAGGAAACAACATCTCCACTTCGCTGATCCTCAACACTGGGGCCCCACAAGGGTGCATGCTCAGCCCCCTCCTGTACTCCCTGTTCACTCATGACTGCGTCCCCCAATTCAATCATCAAGTTTGCAGACGACACAACAGTAGTAGGCTTGATTACCAACAATGACGAGACCGCCTACAGGGAGGAGGTGAGGGCTCTGGGAGTGTGGTGCCAGGAAAATAACCTCTCACTCAACATCAACAAAACAAAGGAGATGATTGTGGACTTCAGGAAACGGCTATCCACATCGACGGGACTGCAGTGGAGAAGGTGGAAAGCTTCAAGTTCCTTGGCGTACACATCACTGACAAACTGAAATGGTCCACCCACGCAGACAGTGTGGTGAAGAAGGTGCAACAGAGCCTCTTCAACCTCAGGAGGCTGAAGAAATTTGGCTTGGCACCTAAAACCCTCACAAACCTTTACAGATGCACAATTGAGAGCATCCTGACTGACTGTATCACCGCCTGGTACGGCAACTGCACCACCCGCAACCGCAGGGCTCTCCAGAGGGTGGTGCGGTCTGCCGAACGCATTACCGGGGGCAAACTACCCGCCCTCCAAGACACATACAGCACCCGATGTCACAGGAAGGCCAAAAAGATCATCAAGGACATCAACCACCTGAGCCACTGCCAGTTCACCCCGCTATCATCCAGAAGGCGAGGTCAGTACAGGTGCATCAAAGCTGGGACCGAGAGAATGAAAAACAGCTTATATCTCAAGGCCATCAGACTGTTAAATAGCCATCACTAGCACATTAGAGGCTGCTGCTGCCTATTGAAATCACTGGCCACTTTAAGAAATGGAACACTAGTCACTTTAATAATGTTTACATATCTTGCACTACTTATCTCATATGTATATACTGTATTCTATTCTATAATATTCTACTGTATCTTAGTCCATGCCGCTCTGTCATTGCTTGTCCATATGTATATATTCTTAAATTCCATTCCTTACTAGATTTGTGTGTATTGGGTATATGTTGTGAAATTGCTAGATATTACTTGTTAGATATTACTGCACTGTCAGAGCTAGAAGCACAAGCATTTCGCTACACCCACAATAACATCTGCTAAACACGCATGTGACAAATAACATTTTATTTGATTTGATTTACAATCTGCTGGATTGACAGCTCCTTTCAGAACAAACATCTCACATTTTGGAAATATTTAATACTAAACCTGAGATTTTGGAGAACTGCTTCACAATATCCAATGCTAATCTAGCTTGTGACACATTTTCCAAGCGTTTGCTTGGAGAAATTTAGAGGTTTTTCCCACCATGCAACACTGCCTTGAGTGATGACATCAAAGCATGTGACAGGGTGTGCAGTTCTGTATGATAGCCACATTAGCGGCTAATTAGCATTTCCGTTTTTTTTTTGTTGGGGGGGGTGTAATTACCTGCAAATATCTTGATAAAAGTTACCTTGTCGAAGAGAGATTTGTGCAGTTATCAAAACGTCTCGCTGGGGTAAGCCTACACAAAACACAGACCTTATATGAAGTAGTTCTAAAATCCCCTTTTGAAAAATGAATGGTGGAAAAACGATTGGAACCATGTCCGGGTTTTATGAGTATTATGACTGGTACTCAATTGATCCTTGAAGGAGAGCTCTCCATGTTCCAGAATCGTCCAGAATGCATCGCGCGGCCCATCGACGAAACATGGGCGAAGTACACAATGGGCGTTATTACGATGCCAATGGAGTTTCCCATCACCTCAAAAGTATAACTGGTTGCGCCTCTGGGTTTAGAAACTCTGTGTTATCGCCTCTGTCTGTGCATGAGAGTTTAGTTTCCCTCCCAGAAAACACGTGATACCGTAAAGTGTTGTGTATTCAGGAGGCGCCTGAAGCGCGGATGGTTTCACTCCTTTTTGCGAGTTTCGGCTGACTTGACCGCAGTCCTTCAGGCCGTCTATGTCTTTGTTTTTACATGTATATTTTCGCTTTAGTTTTTACATGTATATTTTCCCATCTGCTTTTACGAACAGGGAAACATCACTTTCATCCGAATGGGATTCCTCTTGGAACGCAAGGTCTTCAGGTACAATTATTTATTAATGTCAGCATTTAGTTCATATCAAGAAACGGTGTAGCATGTATCATTTTACTATAGAAACACTGTGGGCTTTCATTACTACAGATCTGTTTGTTTTTTATATCATAAAAAGGGTTTGTTGTGTTGAATGATTTCAAGACTTATAGACGGGTTATAGACACCAGATTTGTATAAACACATAAATAACAGTAGCCTAAATGTCAAGTGTTGTCCTCCTGTCCCAATATTGGAACATGCAATCTGATCTTCATGTTTGATGCAATACAAACCTCACAATAGGTCTGTACAGGATCGGATCGTAGTGTCAACCTTTCCTATTGTGTGAGCAGGACAAGTTTATTTTCACTTCTGTATTCAATATCTTTTTTTTGTTTTTCAGGTCAATGACCAAACATGAGATAGAAGACTTAGGCTATGTGATGTTTAATAAATAAGAAGATATGAAACATTTCCTTCTAACTATTTATTTGATGTTGCAGTGTTCATATGGTAAGTTGCCAACACCAATCATTGTTTAAGAACAGGTTCAACATCTGACTGTACTGTTTTTGTCACTATCATATATGTTGTTGTAGTATGCCTTATTTAAGCAATAAGGCACGAGGGGGTGTGGTACGTGGCCAATATACCATGGCTAAGGGCTGTTGTTATGCACGACAGAACGCGGAGAGCCTGGATACAGCCCTTAGCCGTGGTATATTGGCCATAGACCACAAACCCCCGAAGTGCCTTATTGCTATTATAAACTGGTTACCAATGTAATTAGGGCAGTCAAAATAAATGTTTTGTCATACCATGATATACCACAGCTTTCAGCCAATCAGCATTCAGGGCTCGAACCACCCAGTTTATAGTAAGCATTGTGATCTGGGTGGTTCGAGCCCTGAATGCTGATTGGCTGGTATATCGTGCCTAAGAACAGCCCTTAGCCATGGTATATTGGCCATGGTATATTGGCCATATACCACACCCCCTCTGGCCCTCTGGCCCCCTCTGGGGGGGGCAAACACTTTTTCACACAGGGCCATGTAGGTTTGGATTTTGTTTTCCCTTAATAATAACAACCTTAATTTCAAAACTGCATTTTGTGTTTACTTGTGTTATCTTTGACTAATATTTAAATTTGTTTGATGATCTGAAACATTTAAGTGTGACAAACATGCAAACAAATAACAAATCAGGAAGGGGGCACTTTTTCACACCACTGTATGTACTGTTCCTGCCTACCTGGGCTCGGATAAGATACTGCAATCTCCATTTGCTCTCACACATATACCCACCCACAAACAGTCTGTGTCTGTGGGCAGTATAGTGGTACCATATACTGTATGTTATCTTTATTTATGAGTTTGATGGTAATGGCCCTCACTGTATCCTCTTGTTCCTCCTAGCCCTGTACACCCTCCCTGCTCCAGTCAATGTTTCCATAGAGTCCCTCAACTTCCACCATGTTCTACGCTGGAGCCCTGGTCCAGGCACACCTCCCGGGACTATGTACAAGATCACCTGCAGGTTGTCACCCACACCCCACACACCCACCTCTGTGGCTGCTTTGCGTGATGTATTGTTGTCACTACCTTTTTGCCCTTCATGCTGTTGTCTTTGCCTAACAATGTTTGTACCATGTTTGTGCTGCTACCATGTTGTGCTGCTGCCATGTTGTGTTGCTACTGTGTTGTGTTGTCATGTTGTGTTGCTGCCATGTTGTGTTGTTGTCTTAGGTCTCTCTTTATGTAGTGTTGTGGTGTCTCTCCTACATTTTTATTTGTAATCCCAGCCCCTGTTCCCACAGGAGGTCTTTTGCCTCTTGGTAGGCCGTCATTGTAAATAAGAATTTGTTCTTAATTGACTTGCCTAGTTAAATAAAGGTTCAATATACACTACCGGTCAAAAGTTTTAGAACACCTACTCATTCAAGGGTTTTTCTTTATTTTTACTATATTCTACATTGTAGAATAATAGTGAAGACATCAAAACTATGAAATAACACATCATGTGAATCATGTAGTAACCAAAAAAAGTGTTAAACAAATACAAATATATTTTTAATTTGAGATTCTTCAAATAGCCACCCTTTGTCTTGATGATAGCTTTGCACACTCTTGTCATTCTCTCAACCAGCTTCACCTGGAATGCTTTTCCAACAGTCTTGAAGGAGTTCCCACATATGCTGAGCACTTGTTGGCTGCTTTTCCTTCACTCTGCGGTCCGACTCATCCCAAACCATCTCAATTGGGTTGAGGTCGGGGGATTGTGGAGGCCAGGTCATCTGATGCAGCACTCTATCACTCTGGTTCTTGGTCAAATAGCCCTTACACAGCCTGGAGGTGTGTGTTAGGTCATTGTCCTGTTGAAAAACAAATGATAGTCCCACTAAGCCCAAACCAGCTGGGATGGCATATCACTGCAGAAGGCTGTGGTAGCCTTGCTGGTTAAGTGTACCTTGAATTCTAAATAAATCACAGGCAGTGTCACCAGCAAAGCACCCCCCACACCATAACACTTCCTCCTCCATGCTTTACGGTGGGAAATACAGATGCGGAGATCATTCGTTCACCGACACCGCGGCTCACAAAGACACAGAGGTTGGAACCAAAAATCTCAAATTTGGACTCCAGACCAAAGGACACATTTCCACCGGTCTAATGTCCTTTGCTTGTGTTTCTTGGCCCAAGCAAGTCTCTTCTTCTTAATGGTGTCCTTTAGTATTGGTTTATTTGCAGCAATTCAACCATGAAGGCCTGATTCACACAGTCTCCTCTGAACAGTTGATGTTGAGATGTGTCTGTTACTTGAACTCTGTGAAGCATTTATTTGGGCTGCAATTTCTGAGGCTGGTAACTCTAATGAACTTATCCTCTGCAGCAGAGGTAACTCTGGGTCTTCCATTCCTGTAGCAGTCCTCATGAGAGCCAGTTTCATCATAGTGCTTGATGGTTTTTGCGACTGCACTTGAAGGAACTTTCAAAGTTTTCCGGAGTGACTGACCTTCATGTCTTAAAGTAATGATGGACTGTCGTTTCTCATTGGTATTTTACTAAATAGGGCTATCTTCTGTATACCCCTCCTTCCTTGTCACAACACAACTGATTGGCTCAAACGCATTAAGAAAGAAAGAAATTCCACAAATTAACAAGGCACACCTGTTCATTGAAATGCATTCCAGGTGACTACCTCATGAAGCTGGTTGAGAGAATGCCAAGAGTGTGCAAAGCTGTCATCAAGGCAAAGGGTGGCTATTTGAAGAATCTCAAATATAAAATATATTTTGATTTGTTTAACACTTTTTTGGTTACTACAGGATTCCATATCTGTTATTTCATAGTTTTGTCTTCACTATGATTCTACAATGTAGAAAATAGTAAAAATAAAGAAAAACCCTTGAATGAGTAGGTGTTCTAAAACGTTTGACCGGTAGTGTATATATATTTTTTAAACATGTCATGTTGGATCATTGGCTGAGCTGGCCAATCAGCGGTCTACTCACATGAATATCTTTAATGACCGGTTTACGTCCACACCATTCTGTTGTTGAGGTACGCCCAAACCCAGTGCTTTGCCTATATGCATTTAGCAGTGGCGGAAATCTGGAAACACTGGACAGTTACTTTGAATGATAACTGAGTATAATATCACCCATCATCATGATTTTGTTTGTGTTAATCTCGTTGAATAATTATTCTACTGCATTGTGGATAGGTTTTTGGACTTTAGACGAATGATGGTGATCGTATTGCCATGACACACTTGATATGACTGGGTTGTGGATTGTCTCAGAGGTTAGATGTAATAACACTATATTTACAGTAGTAAATCATTGCTTTTCAGAGAGACAGTCATTGGAAAGTTCAGACTTCAGTCAGAGCATTTTGGGTTTCACTTGTGGAGAAAAGCGTTGGTTTTGGACATAAGCTAAAACCTTTACCTTTAACCAGGATTAGCCTATTCAGCGTCATTTGCCTGTCTTGCAAAGTGTGTTGTGGCTGGAAGATGTGACTGCAGTGTGAAGTGTTTTTTAAAAGTATTGCTTTCACTTGACCATAGATACAGTTTTGTGTCATCGTGGTCATTGTTTCCACCCTCATAGTATCTGCTCTAGACTCTAGAGACAGTACTCTGTTATGCAGGTGTTACCACTTTAAAAAATCTGTGAATTTCAAGGGAATTCAATATAATCAACCACATTCCCTTCTGCTGGGGTATACAAAACAACACTCTGAGACAATGAGATTTAACCAAACTTACTGTATTTTGTCAATAAAGTTATTCAACTAGGCCTACTCCTTGTTTTATTTGCTAATATTCGGCGCCGCACATTTTACATTTACATTTTAGTCATTTAGCAGACGCTCTTATCCAGAGTGAGTGCATACATAAAAATAAAAAAACTTTATACTGGCCCCCCGTGGGAATCAAATCCACAACCCTGGCATTGCAAGCGCCATGCTCTACCAACTGAGCTACACGGGGCTACACAGAAATTACCCTCCATGTTTCTGTGTCAACAGAAGAAACCACAAGAAGCTATTGCTACGACCTCAACCCAACATGACAAGTCATAGGCTGGATCTAAAGTTCCACAAAGAAGAGTATAAATTCTATGTTTGTGCCTCCCGCAACCGCTCAGAGTCGCCCTTGGTGGAGACCACCTTCACCCCCTACTTACAGAGTATGTCTGCTCTCCATTTTGTCTTGCTAATAGGAATGTTAAGATATTTGTTTGCTAGAGATTTTGAATAGGAGGTGTTTGTGTGAGTGCAATTATTTACATTAGCTAAGTTGACATGAAATTACACAATCTAGTCATGTATTTGTGTGTGAAGGTGTCTGTTGTAATGTTTTTGTAAATTTGTTTATCTGTGTGTGAAATGATGCTACAGTACCATTATATCTTACATAGCTGTTATTGGGTCTCCAACATTGTCTTTGGATGGATGTGGCAACTGCCTGGAAATCAACATCACACTGCTTGAGATAGAAACTATTAAAGATATCTATGGGAAATCCTTATCTTTTGACATCTACTGGAAGAGAGCAGGAGATACACAGGTACAAACAACTATGCCTATTCTTTCCTTGTCTTCATTTTAGTATCAAATTGTACTCTTTCTTTATGATGTGAAATATAGAGGACCATTTAGTCTAAATCTTACTCTTAGTTCATGTTCATTTCCAGCCCAAAAAGACCCAAACAACTAATTTAAGTTACACGCTGGAGAACTTGGAGGTGGGTGTGGAGTACTGTGTGAGGGTGTACACAAAGATCACCACCAACCCCCACACACTGCCCTCTGGGTGGAAGTGTGCTTACACCAGCATTCTGGAGCCCAACAGAGGTGAATATTGTTTATAGTTATAAGTCAGTGTTTCATCCCAATTGCACAGAGCTCATATTTTATCATGATTCTCTCTCTCTCTCTCTCTCTCTCTCTCTCTCTCTCTCTCTCTCTCTCTCTCTCTCTCTCTCTCTCTCTCTCTCTCTCTCTCTCTCTCTCTCTCTCTCTCTCTCTCTCTCTCTCTCAGTCCCTGCTGTTGTAGCTGGGCTGTCTGTTGTCCTCATTGTGAGTGGGATAGGTCTTATGGTTCTCATGTTTGGCCTGTTCTACATGGGGTTCCTGTGCAAGCTGAAGACCCAACAACCCAGAGGACTGGTGAGAAATGGCTACATCTGTAACTAACTACACAATCTCACTTTTTCACTGTTCGTCTGTGATCCTTTATGTTTGTCTTTGTCATTGTTTCAATGTGGATCTAGAATGTGAATTTGTGGAGCTTAAGAAATGCAAAGCCAATGCAAATTCCTATAGGAAAATACTGTAAGTTGAACTCTATCACCCACGTAGTCTACATAAAGTGGTGTACATACCATCTATAGCCATAAGATTCAGGCAATAACGTCACTGTACCTTTCTCCGTGTTTAACACAGCCTCTCTCTCCTCCCCCCATGCAGACTGCCCTGGTGGAGAGCTACTTCCTCATCCCAGAGAGGACGATCCCTGACTTGGTCTCTATATCTTCTGAGACAGAGGAACAAGGGAAGGCCCTCAGACCAAAAACACACCATGACAGACAGAACTCGAACCATGCGGGGGAGGAGGAGGATGATGAAGAGGAAGAGGGGGGAAACGACGACTACGTGGACCGCGCTGCGGGGCTGTCCTTTGACAGCAGCTCCAGCACCACACAGTCCCAGGATGCATCAGGGGCTAATGTGACCCTCCTTGACACAGCAGGGCATTCTGTGGGGTTGAGTTCTGAGGTAGCTGCTACTGAGGAGGAAAGGGAAGCTCCTGTGGGTGTGATTGTGCTAGGATGTCAGGCTCAGGGAGGGGTCAATGGTGAACAGGTGAGTGTCATTTCCAGCTTTGACGGAGACCGACCCAGACCTCTGGGACTTGGAGGGTTGGGTGGAGAGGAGGAGAAAGAGAGAGAGGTGGAGGAGAAGGAGACCTCTGGTAACGTCAATCTGTTCTCTGTGACTCTGGGGGCATTAAAGAGGGATGATGAGGAGGAGTATGAAGAGGAGACAGACTTTCTATTAGAATTTTCAAAACAGGAGCAGAAGCCTCAACTTCCCATAGACTCCTTACAGAGGACCTTACGACCGGGCAGCATGAGATCTCAGAGTGAGATACAGGAAGATACAGGCCTAGTACTGACACTGCCACAGACAGTCTGCACACGGATATACTCTGAATATTCAAATAGACATGCTGACAGCAGCACAGAGCCACACTCTGGCTACCTTGTAACGAACACAGGCACTGTGCAGGCTGACAATGCGACAGAAGGAGAGGAGGAAGACTTCTCAGGGTACATGGGGCGTTGATTATTGTGTGTGTGTGTGAGGCTTTGTGAGCGCGGGCGCAGTGTAGGTCTACAGTGTAATAGTGTGCCTTAGCCGATAACTGCACAGATATTCCACTTGGTTGGTTATGCCGTCTCACCTAGGCCTACATTCCTTCCCAATTATTTGCTTCTGTTGAGTATGTGAGAGTATGTGAATGTGTATGTAAAATAACAAGTTCCATAAATTGCCATGCACTTGTTTTTCTATGTCTGTTTTATTCATTGTAATGTAAGTGCAATTTCATGAATAAGAGCTCAGATCAAATCGTCACGCCATCTTAACTGACTTCATTTGGCCGACTTCATTTGGCTTCAATGCGCTATTGACTCTTCACCAATGACTGTATACACTACAAGACCAAAAGTATGTGGACACATGCTCGTCGAATGTCTCATTCAAAAATCATGTGCATTAATATGGAGTTGGTCCCCCCTTTGCTGCTATAACAGCCTCTACTCTTCTGGGAAGGCTTTCCACTAGATGTTGGAACATTGCTGCAGGGGGATTTGCTTCCATTCAGCCACAAGAGCATTAGTGAGGTCAGGCACTGATGTTGGGCGATTAGGCCTGGCTCGCGGTCGGTGTTCCAATTCCTCCCAAAGGTGTTCGATGGGGATGAGGTCAGGGCTCTGTGCAGGCCAGTCAAGTTCTTCCACACCGATCTCGACAAACCATTGCTGTATGGTCCTCGTTTTGTGCACGGGGACATTGTCATGCTGAAACAGGAAAGGGCCTTCACCAAACTGTTGCCACAAAGTTGGAAGCACAGAATCGTCTAGAATATCATTGTATGCTGTAGCGTTAAGCTATCACTTCACTGGAACTAAGGGGCCTAACCCAAACCATGAAAAACAGCCCCAGACCATTATTCCTTCTCCACCAAACTTTACAGTTGGAACTATGTATTGGGCAGGTAGCGCTCTCCTGGCATCCTCCAAACCCAGATTAGTTTGTCAGACTGCCAGATGGTGAAGCGTGATTCATCACTCCAGAGAAGGTGTTTCCACTGCTCCAGAGTCCAATGGCGATGAGCTTTACACAACTCCAGCCGACGCTTGGCATTGCGCATGGTGATCTTAGGCTTGTGTGCAGCTGCTTGGCCATGGAAACCCACTTCATGAAGCTCCTGACGAACAGTTATTGTGCTGACGTTGCTTCCAGAGGCAGTTTGGAACTCTGTAGTGAGTGTTGCAACCGAGGACACAATTTTTACACGCTTCAGCACTTGGCGGTCCTGTTCTGTGAGCTTTTGTGGCCTACCACTTTGCGGCTGAACCGTTGTTGCTCCTAGACGTTTCTACTTCACAATAACAGCACTTACAGTTGACCGGGGCAGCTCTAGCAGGGCAGAAATTTTACAAACTGACTTGTTGGAAAGGTGGCATCCTATGACAGTGCCATGTTGAAAGTCACTGAGCTCTTCAGTAAGGCCATTCTACTGACAATGTTTGTCTATGGAGATTGCATGGCGGTGTGCTCGATTTTATACACCTGTCAGCAACGGGTGTGGCTAAAATAGCCGAATCCACTCATTTGAAGGGGTGTCCACATACTTTTGTATATGTAGTGTATATGAATGGACAAACCCATCGAATGAATGAATGGTGTCACGTGATCGATGGCTTTGTCCATAGACGTAACATAGTAAATGTAAATCCTGGACACTCCTATTAGTATGATATGTTACATTTCGTATGATATGTATTAGTTTGTGGATGGTCGTCATCCATTTCGTATGGTATGTTACGAATTGCAATTCGTACAATATGTTACAAATTTGCAAAACGTATCATATGTTACGAATTCCAATTTGTTGTGGCTAATGTTAGCTAGGTGGCTAATGCTAGTATTAGCTAGGTGGCTAACGTTAGCTAGGCTAGTGGTTAGGGGTTAAGGTTAGGAGTTGAAGGGTTAGGGCAGGGGTGTCAAACTCATTCCATGGAGGGCCAAGGGTCTGCTGGTGTTTGGTTTTTCCTTTCAATTAAGACCTAGACAACCAGGTGAGGGGAGTTCTTTACTAATTCGTTACCTTAATTCATCAATCAAGTACAAGCGTGGAGCAGAAACCTGCAGACACTCGGCCCTCCGTGGAATGAGTTTGACACGTGGGTTATGGGAAGGGTTAGCTAACATGCTAAGATGTTGCAAAGTAGTAAGGAGTTGCAAAGTTGCTAAAACGCTAAAGTTGTCCATGATGAAATTCAAACGCGCAACCTTTGGGGTGCACCCCCTTATCCACATCGACGGGATTGCAGTGGAGAAGGTGGAAAGCTTCAAGTTCCTTGGCGTACACATCAACGACAAACTGAAATGGTCCACCCACGCAGACAGTGTGGTGAATAAGGCGCAACAGAGCCTCTTCAACCTCAGGTGGCTGAAGAAATTCGTCTTGGCACCTAAAACCCTCACAAACTTTTACAGATGCACAATTGAGAGCATCCTGTCGGGCTGTATCACCGCCTGGTACGGCAACTGCACTGCCAACAACCGCAGGGCTCTCCAGAGGGTGGTGCGGTCTGTCGAACGCATTACCGGGGGCAAACTACCCGCCCTCCAAGACACATACAGCACCCGATGTCACAGGAAGACCAAAAAGATCATCAAGGACATCAACCACCCGAGCCACTGCCTGTTCACCCCACTATCATCCAGAAGGCGAGGTCAGTACAGGTGCATCAAAGCTGGGACCGAGAGAATGAAAAACAGCTTCTATCTCAAGGCCATCAGACTGTTAAATAGCCATCACTAGCACATTAGAGGCTGCTGCTGCCTATTGGATGGAATGGAACACTAGTCACTTTAATAATGTTTACATATCTTGCACTACTCATCTCATATGTATATACTGCATTCTATTCTATAATATTGTACTGTATCTTAGTCCATGCCGCTCTGTCATTGCTTGTCCATATATGTATATATTCTTAAATCCCATTCCTTACTAGTTTTGTGTGTATTAGGTACAGTGGGGAAAAAAAGTATTTAGTCAGCCACCAATTGTGCATGTTCTCCCACTTAAAAAGATGAGAGAGGCCTGTAATTTTCATCATAGGTACACGTCAACTATGACAGACAAATTGAGAAAAAAAAATCCAGAAAATCCCATTGTAGGATTTTTAATGAATTTATTTGCAAATTATGGTGGAAAATAAGTATTTGGTCACCTACAAACAAGCAAGATTTCTGGCTCTCACAGACCTGTAACTTCTTCTTTAAGAGGCTCTTCTGTCCTCCACTCGTTACCTGTATTAATGGCACCTGTTTGAACTTGTTATCAGTATAAAAGACACCTGTCCACAACCTCAAACAGTCACACTCCAAACTTTACAATGGCCAAGACCAAAGAGCTGTCAAAGGACACCAAAAACAAAATTGTAGACCTGCACCAGGCTGGGAAGACTGAATCTGCAATAGGTAAGCAGCTTGGTTTGAAGAAATCAACTGTGGGAGCAATTATTAGGAAATGGAAGACATACAAGACCACTGATAATCTCCCTCGATCTGGGGCTCCACGCAAGATCTCACCCCGTGGGGTCAAAATGATCACAAGAACGGTGAGCAAAAATCCCAGAACCACACGGGGAGACCTAGTGAATGACCTACAGAGAGCTGGGACCAAAGTAACAAAGCCTACCATCAGTAACACACTACGCCGCCAGGGACTCAAATCCTGCAGTGCCAGACGTGTCCCCCTGCTTAAGCCAGTACATGTCCAGGCCCGTCTGAAGTGCATTTGGATGATCCAGAAGAGGATTGGGAGAATGTCATATGGTCAGATGAAACCAAAATATAACTTTTTGGTAAAAACTCAACTCGTCATGTTTGGAGGACAAAGAATGCTGAGTTGCATCCGAAGAACACCATACCTACTGTGAAGCATGGGGTTGGAAACATCATGCTTTGGGGCTGTTTTTCTGCAAAGGGACCAGGACGACTGATCCGTGTAAAGGAAAGAATGAATGGGGCCATGTATCGTGAGATTTTGAGTGAAACCCTCCTTCCATCAGCAAGGGCATTGAAGATGATACGTGGCTGGGTCTTTCAGCATGACAATGATCCCAAACACACCGCCCGGGCAACGAAGGAGTGGCTTCGTAAGAAGCATTTCAAGGTCCTGGAGTGGCCTAGCCAGTCTCCAGATCTCAACCCCATAGAAAATCTTTGGAGGGAGTTGAAAGTCCGTGTTGCCCAGCGACAGCCCCAAAACATCACTGCTCTAGAGGAGATCTGCATGGAGGAATGGGCCAAAATACCAGCAACAGTGTGTGAAAACCTTGTGAAGACTTACAGAAACCGTTTGACCTGTGTCATTGCCAACAAAGGGTATATAACAAAGTAATGAGAAACTTTTGTTATTGACCAAATACTTATTTTCCACCATCATATGCCAATAAATTCATAAAAAATCCTACAATGTGATTTTCTGGATTTTTTTTTCTCATTTTGTCTGTCATAGTTGACGTGTACCTATGATGAAAATTACAGGCCTCTCTCATCTTTTTAAGTGGGAGAACTTGCACAATTGGTGGCTGACTAAATACTTTTTTGCCCCACTGTATATGTTGTGAAACTGTTAGATATTACTGCACGGTCGGAGCTAGAAGCACAAGCATTTCGCTACACCCGCTATAACATCTGCTAACCACGTGTATGTGACAAATACAATATGATTTGATTTGAGATGTTCGCGTCAACCATCCTCCCTACTTAGTTTTTTGCCTTAAGTAACCTTCTGTCTTATGCAACCATACCAAACATAACCTATTGTAATGACAAGCATTTCGCTACACCCGCAATAACATCTGCTAAACACGTGTGTGTATGTGACAAATATTTTATTTATTTATTTGATAATAAATGTAATAAATCATAAATGAGCAAATGTCCACAACCGTTCTTGAGTTCTCGAATGAAAGCGGTTTATTGAACTGAACTCTCACAGGCTACTGTCTGGCCGTAGCCCATGCCAAACAAAACCC